AACCAATCCACTTGTTTCTCATGTAAATGTCCTTCTGAAGTCTGCACAGAGAGGCAAACGAGCTGTTTAAACAGGACGCGTCGAAGTGAACGTGAACTTTTACTCTTTCCATTTTTCCTGTTGTCAGCAGACACATGTGGAGTACGTCAGAAATTGAACGGGCGCCTACTGAATCCAGTGTAGACAGTCAGTGAGACTGGTTGTTGTGATATTTCGTGTGTTGTCTGTAGGGGTGTCACGATTCTCCAAATCCTCGATTCGATTACATTTTCGATTCGATTCTCGATTTTTACATTTATTTTTTTAAAGCCGAAACCGGCCAATCAGGATGCTCTCTGTCTTACATGCGCTTCATGAGGCACACACGCAAGGTCTCTCGCTCTCTCCCTCTCTGTCGTGCGCGCTATACGGTTTGGAGCACAGTTTTTTTCTGTCTCGCATGCGCGCTCTTGCTCGCTCGCTCTAGATTCCGGGAGATTTTAACTAATTTGCGTGCATCAGGGAGCCGCTATCAATATGCGGGAGACATAGGCGTCATTTACGGGGGGGACGGGTGGGACATGTCCCCACCACTTTTTGCCAGGGTCGATATTGTCCCCACCACTTTTGAAACATCTCGCGTCACGGATGTACCAATACAAATAAAACATCTCCAGTTAACTAGCAGCATTCGTTTCATTCATTTGTTAAATAAGACGCGATCTAGCGCTGAAATGTGTTGTCTTCACTCGGACGCGCGCTTCAATCCGTTGCAGAGATTCTATTCGTTCCAGAGAAATCACAATTCAAAATGCACACAAACGTGTCCCTGCTTCTGGGTTCTAATCCGCACTCGTATAGTTTTTTTCCCCTCATCAAAACCGATAATGTTTATCAGTGATAAAGTATATCAAGATTCTTGATATACAACCACTGATAAACATTATCGGTTTTGATGAGGGAAAAAAACTATACCGAGTGCGGACTAGAACCCTCAACCTTCCACACGCTTGGCAAAAATTCTGCCACTGGACTATCACAATACATATTCATAAAATTCACGATACTAACAACATTATATTAGATTTCATTTTACGACCAATTAAACCCATAGTACCATCACATTTTTGGTCGGACATCATACATTTTTATTTATTTCAATCAGTAAGCTACAGGACATCGTCTTTCAAACCATGACCTGCGCGAAAGAGAAAAAAGAATGAATGCGTCATTGTACCCAGCACTTTTGAAAATGCCCTTCCGAATGCGTCTCTGTCCCCACCACATTTCAAACCAAACTGACGCCCATGGCGGGAGACTCCCGGAACTTCCGCGAGACTTGGGATGACCTGCAAACTGTGGCTTTTTTGAAGTGCGAACGTTGTCAACATAACTCACTGGAAATCCAAAAAACTTCCACACCTGCGACTTCAATGAAAGAGGAGGGGGTTCAAGTTCTGTCGATGGGTCTCCTGCATCTGCAGTTGCCATGCTATCTTTTGAATGGCTGTAGCTAAGTTAGAGGAGGTTGACCATAGACTCGCAGCACTTCAACACACGTGTTTTTTTCCACTTGGCACGCCGACCGGACGTGACATGGGGACGTGGCAGCATCGACGATTCCATTTTTTAATTCGAAGTTCGAGATTGTTAATTTCGGATTTTAAATCGAAATCATGACACCCTTAGTTGTCTGTGTACTCTGTTATTATAATGGGTTCTATTTGCTATTGACGTGATGCTCGTGCCAGGTGTCAGTTGTACATTGACTTGCCAGTGGACATCGTGGCCTATGGTACGATGATGTAAAACTATAACTATTGCCCTTTATTTGCCCACGTCACATTACAGACCCCACAATATTAAAACGAGCCATTTTTGGAGCTTGATTACATAAATGCATTTTTTTTTTAATAATGAGTAGGACATTTTAATTTGAACTACTGTATTTGATACCAATATACAGATTAACTGAAAAAAGTCATCCCATTATGTGATCCACAGTTATATCTGTTGCAAGGCAAATAATCTCCTGGATAACAGCCAAAAGTCGAGCAGATTATCAAAAGCTTCTCTTTATCATCAAATTTTTTTGTAGCTCTAAAAAATTACTTTGCTTTGTTGCACTAAAATATATGCTGATAAGTATCAGTTCTTTTTTTCACATTATAAAGAAAATCTAAAATTAGCTATTCTAATAATTTGTGCAAATTCTTTCACAATGAATATACTGCACTGGAATTGTGTCTTTTCAGAGAGGTCTAGACATTAGAGTTACACAGCAGGCACGGGCCATTAGCTAAAAGTGCTTAGTCGTCAGTTGTTTCCAGGCCGCCTGGTGTTTAGGATAAGTTACGCTTGTATTGATCGCCGTTGTAATATTAATCACTTCCCTCTTAAAGGGTGTGACAAATTTTGTACCAAAATAACTAAGCTGTGAGAGACTCCTTGCCTGAACTCTTCTTAAACCCAGAAACTTCGAGAGTGAAAGTATTCGATATAAATTCCTTTAATATCCCAAAATGTACAGCAAACAAAACAGTGAAGAGTTTAAAATCTTTAACAAGAAACATAAGTTCAAATGTTCCCTGAGCATGGGCCAGAATACCTAAAGGTACATGCAGTGCCAAGAGGCCTGACTATCATTCGACATTCTGAAATAAATAAAATATGTGCTTGGGTAAATAAACACTGGCTTGCTACCAGTAGCTCAGCATGAAATTTAACGAATCACAAGGTTTGCTTTTTTTAATCCTTGCCACTATTGAAACAGTCTTACTAATGTGCTACCAAGGTGAGAGATAATACATTAATTTTTATTTTTATGTATTTTGGAGTAAATAGCATAATACTTTATATTATGACGTAATTGTATAACTCTGAACATGACAGTAAATATAACAAAGATAATCAGATTCAAATAAATACACAAACTCTTTTTCTGTATGTCTTGGGGCAAAGCACTAAAAATTAAGTCTTTTAAGAAAGTGGGTGTCTACTTAGATTAAATATGACCCACAGAAGTTTAAGTATCTTTACTAGCCTGCCACTAATTACCATTAATTCCAGTTCAATAAGCCTTTTTGTGCAGAGGCAAAATATTCAAATTGAATAATGGTGACGTAAGCTATATGCAGGCTTTCACAACCATGGCCAATTTAGTTCATTTGAAAGATCGCATACAAATGACTTATTATCAGTTTTGTGAAGAGACATATCTTAATTTGTTTTTAAGATTACGGCTAATTATTTTGCACCATTTTGAGGTTGTTACTGGACACATTTGCTACAGAAACCCCTGGTAGCATTCCCCTTCTTGAGAATGCACAGCCAGATTTAGTTTCCAATTCTTCAGAACCTGAATTATCAGCTCACTCTTTTTCTAACTCTCAGATGGAATAGATTACCGATCAAATTCATCTGAATGATATGAATAATCCTTTAGACGATGCCATATCATGAGCTTGAATAATGGTTTTTGTTTCTGAAAGCAGATGAATCTAACCTTCATGAATTAATACAACACAACAGATGCATGTGCTGCAGGTACACTTCTAAGAAACAAACTGAAGTTTACAGTTTGAAAATGTTTACAATTTCTTGATAACCTGGACCAGTTAAAATGGTTGTCGTTTAATTATATGCATGCTTATTCAACAGCACACACCCCACTGTGCTCCCCTGCACTTGAGATAATCTGAGCCAGTGTGAGTACTTTGTAATAGCCGTAATTGCCTCTTAATTACTCTGCTTACTATCTGATGAGCTGTCAAGGACTGCTTTTATCTTACACAACTATAATATTTTCAGATCATATCAATGCTACCATGTTTGGTTGTCGTCATAACCTTACACTCGTGAAAAATGGGGTTGGCAATGCAATATTTAAGCAACTTCCCTGTGCTGGACATTAAATCAATAGAGATTGGCTAACCTAACATTTGATCAACAGAGCAGCTATTTATAACCTAAGAAGTGAATTAAAGCCAGAATTACCCCAAGGGGAGTAAACGTTATTCTTTTTCATACAAGTTCATAGTGTTTTCATAAGAGGAACATTGGTTTTCAAACGAATCAGTAGCTAATGATCAGAGTTTGAATAAAATAGGCATAGCCAAATACAACGTTAACAACAACAACAAAAAAGCTCGTTAGGCAGAGGAGGTTTGGGCGGTACGTGCAAAGCATTACAAGTCGATAACTTTGTGATTGTGTTTTCTTGTATTTAATGTTTTGATGTATTTAAGATGTGACGATTTTGGTCGAGACGAACATCCGAATTACTTTTACATTTAATAATTTAGCACGTTTCATTTCATTCAAAAAACTAAATTGCTTTAAAATACCGGAAAGTCATGTATATAATTAGCATATTGATTAGACTATTAAATGAAGATGAGAGATAACATCAGATAAATTGTAAGAAGAATTAGTATTAGGCTACATTAACACTATAGCTATTCATGCACCATAAACCACAAAAATATGAGGCGGTTGTTCTTCAGTTCATGCCGTTCAAAAAGTTAATGTGCTTCAACGATGTGTCGCTTCATTTTACACGTTTGCCTTCGCTTGAAATCAGGGTTTAATTGCTGTGATAAATTAAGAAGCGACACATCGTTGAAGCACATTAACTTTTTGAACGGCATGAACAGAAAAAAAAAACCCCGCCAAATATATTTTGTGGTTTGTGGTGCTTAAAAAGGTGTTGCTTCAAATTTCTGATCGGACGAAGTTGAGCATAGCCTACCAATAACTGGAAAACACTAACCCTACACACAAAATATTTATAAAGACCAAGCCTGTCTGTGGACAATTCCCTTATTTTACTAACTAAATGATCACCTGAAAACAAATGAAACACCTGACACGCCTGATTCATGCTTACATGGTTCAAGAACGGGCGTCCACATGATTAATGAATATTGTATACGCGATAGCGACACAAACAATGTAGAGCAGCGACACCACAGCAAACAGATACGAGGCTAAAAATGATGGCAGAAGAAGGCATAGTTTACCTTCCGCGAGAAGGCGCATCGCGTGCACGAACGACGTGTCCAAGCCCTCCTTCTCGGCAATGAGCTCTGGCAGGTACTTGTCTTGATCCATCACTGGATTCCTCTCCTGAACACCGCGAGTGCAGGTGAGACGACCACAGAGGTGAGTGAGTGATGGAATGGGTGTGTGGTTGTTGCGTTTAAATAGACTGCGTAATATCGGGGAGGGATCGTGTGGTTTTCGCGCACAACGTGGAAGATATCAATGCAGTGTACCCATCTCCTCGAGTCTCTCATATAAAACCTCCCACCTCAGACTCCGAATCTGTACTCTCACTCCGCCCATCTACATCTGGATTGGTCATGGCAGAGAGCAAACTGCATGCAAATGTCAGATATTGTGTATAGGATTGAATTTGGGGACATTCTGTAAACTAGGGTAACCGCTGATCTGTCACCCCTGTCCATGGTTCTGAACACCTAATCTTCTGTGCAAATCTGTTTTGTTTTTTTTTACTCTCCGCCAGTAGTTACATTGGATATCCTTTGCATATTTGCTTTGGAAAGACATCAGACAACAAATGTATGTGAACAGGATATGCAAGTATTGTTATGATTTGGCCACTGAAATCAACATGAAATGATGATGATCATTCTTCATGCGGTTCATAGTAAAGATAGTGGTAAAACATTTTTTTTTTTTTTTTTTTTGTTAATTGGAAATGCAAAATAATAAATATCCATAACAAACATAAGTTTTCAATTGCAGACGGCAGAATTGGAAGGGAAATTTGGTAACGGCCATGAATACTAATCAGTGGATTTCCCATTTGCCTCAGTTTGCCAACATGGATTAAGCTGTTGTGACAGACAGTCACAGATAGTGCAAACACTCGCAAACACACACACTAACACTTAGCCAAGCAGCTAAGCACATATGAGGGGGAAGGAGAGATAGCCACAGAGGAGAAGGGGAGAGAAGACGCAGAGAGAGAGAGAGAGAGAGAGAGAGAGAGAGAGAGAGAGAGAGAGAGAGAGAGAGAGAGAGAGAGAGAGAGAGAGAGAGAGAGAGAGAGAGAGAGAGAGAGAGGCAGTGAAAGGAGGAAGAGGGACAGGACCAGCTTGCCTAATTAATAACTGAATGGATTACAGTGCTGTTGGCAAACATCTGCACCCCAAGTGTCATATTTACTGTCTGCCTGTGAACTGTGAACATAATTACAGAATCCCGGTCCACAGTGTTGAGCGGTAGTGCTACAAATAAAATTTTAAAAAAAATTGGAATAAGTAATCAAAAAATAAAACATCAAAATTCACTCATGTGAATACTGATTTATCCTAATTAATTCATAATATAAAATGGGTTTAAATAAAGCACGCTCATGCATATATAAAATATTTTATTTATGCAAAAATCATATAGTGTAATGTGTCACAAAAAACAAGCCATGCAAGCTGAAAAATATATGGTCACAATTTAAATATATATAATATATATATTGGGTTCTCACATCTTAGTTTCCTCAAGTGACTTCCAATTCATGTATAGCTGACAGATCCATGTTGTATTTTACGATTTAACACTCCGGACAGAATCAGTTTGGCAATAGGATAATCAAATGGATTTTGGGGGGGTTATATATTGATTCTGAGGGTAGTGAATGAGAAGAGATTGAGGAAAAAGAAATAAGGGTTTGTGGAGGATCAACACCTTCTATACATCACTCACCACCACTCAACATAATGAAACGCTTCTGAAGGGCAAAAGCTATCAGTTGCTATGATATACGCTTCTTTTGTCGCATTTCTACAAGATGAAAGAGTTTATTGCTTCATCAAAAGATCGTGATACATCAAAAGTCTCTCACTTAGGCTAATTTGTTGATTGTGTGTCCTAATTTTTTACAAAATGAGAGTCTTTATTTTGATATAGGTTGGAGAGAACATCAGCGGATGTCAATTTATGATGATATTGCGGTATTTATTATACAACACCACACCATCACTCATTTCCTATCACTTTTATGTTCATACCAGACACTGTAGATATAAATAAATGCTGCTAATATTAAACTTCTGATGCAACTGATCAAGAAAATGATCTTTCTTTTATTATTGTTAGATTTGTGTGTGATTATTGTTTAAAAAAGCCTATCTGGGGCAGCGAATTAGCCTTCGGTTAGAAGCCTGTGTGTGGCGCATCGGCTGCTTGAAATTATAGCAATGTTTCTGTATTGTCCCTGTTAAATAAACTAATAAATAAATAAAATAAAATACAATTAGAGCAACCTCTGTAGTCACACTTAACAATTTGTCATAATTTACTCTTGCATCATATATTCAACTAATAAGAATGGCTTTCTGCAGCACTCTAGTGGCCAAAAATAACACAACAGGAGATCAAACTGCTTCTAAACTGGTTTTGCTTCAAGACCCAGATTTTACATTGGATAAGCAGTGACTCAACACAGCACCAAGTGTTAATCGTAAAAAAGTAAAAGTACACAAAAAAAAAACATTTATAAAAAAAAAAAAAAAACTAATATTATAAGGCCAAACAATATGCAAATGTATTAAACATGGCATAAGCTGAACAGGAACCTGATCATTTTGGATTCTAATTATCACTTGAAATTCAGAGGTTTCATCCTGTTGGCAGACAATAATTTACAGCACAAAACAAACTCTGGCCACCAGCACACAATTTGTTGTTTGCAATTTTGTTTTTGTTCCCTGCTGTCACTTTGCCTTGTGTATCATCAACACTAGATGGGACAGTTTTTAATTGGCAAAGTGAGGCATTTAACAAATATTAGCTTTCATAAATAATCTTTTAAAAACAAAATAAAAACATCTGTCATTAAAACTTTAGAGAAAGCCTTTAATATTCAAAATATGACTGTCGACCATCAAATATGTCTCCTATTTTGTTTTTCTGGCACTTTTTTTTTTTAGAAAAAAAAAACATTTAAACGATCCAGTCATTCATTATGGATTGATGACACATTAAGCACTGAAGGATAATTAGACTTTAAAAATGCAGGGGAAAATACATGATGAATTGCAAGGCTGTGACAGCACCATGTGTTAGGAATAATCAATCTTTATTATATAGTCAAAATAAGTAGAGCTATGGTACATTGCCTTTACACCTCAGAGCAAGCTCCCCAACAACAACTAGTAAAAACAATTCACATTCAGCAGTGAGCTGCACTTTCATGAAGCACTTTTGTGCTTCTCAAACACTTGTGAGTGAATGTAACCAGCTTTGGTATTTTAGCAGAGTCTCAGGTTGTGGAAATGCAAAAGCCCACAGTGTGAATTATTAAGCAGCACTATTGGGAGAGAAATCGGGAGAGGGGAAGAAACGGGGTAATGGGATATTAAGATTTGCTCAATTTGAGGACTAAGGGTTCACATGACATCTCAGGCCCTTGTGTCACATCAACCTCCTGCTTCTTCGCTTGAGATTTATGTATTTATTTATTTTTACAAGCTCTCTGTTTCACACAAAGCAACTCATTCTACCCAGATCCATGGAGAGAGCTATTGAGACTGCTATAAACAGCATATGCTGGTAACTGTCGTTTGTAGGACATTCTGTTATAGTATAAAACTTTGTTGCCACTGAAATTGATAGAGGTCAGGTGACCTAATCTTAATAGGAGCCAATGCAATCAAATTCTAAAATTTAAATTTAAAATTTTGCTAAGAAAAGATCATGACAATCTAAAGACACAAGACCAATAAGTCAAGTTAAATATATATTTTTGTTTGATTCATTCTGGTTTACTTCAATGCTGCATATGGCCCTGTGAAGCCTTTGGAGGTTTTCGCAAGTGAGTAAAATATTTGAACTAGGGCCGGGACTCGATTAAAAAAAAAAATCTAATTAATTAGAGGCTTTGTAATTAATTAATCGAAATTAATCGCATTTTAATCGCATAAATATTTGACCTGAGAACAGTGAGAAGTAATTTTTTTCACATGGATTTTTAGTATACCATTGAATAATGACTGAATACATAAGCTTAAGCAACAAAATATTGTTTATTTTTGTTCAACCAAGTCCAGCAGACCAGTGCAATTTTTGCCATTAAGTGTAGCAATAGCATATTGTTACAAATTTGAAATTTTGTTACAAAAAAACGAACGGATGGAAGCGTCGATAAGAGCATGGTTGTGTGCAAGCTATGCAACAAGGAATTCAATTTGAATTCCTTGTTGCATAGCTTGCACACAACCATGCTCTTATCGACGCTTCCATCCGTTCGTTTTTTGTAACAAAATTTCCCAGCCACCGGCCAACCAAAGCGATCTCGTCAGCTTCTTCATCATGAACGCTAGTTGGTGCGCCAGTATAATCGGTCCGCCGAAACTCATCCAGTGAGAAACGTTCCGCGGTGCAAAAATAAGTGCGATTAAAAATTATTTGTGTAATTAATTAACGCGTTAAAGTGTGTAATTAATTAATCTTAATTAACGCGTTAAAGTCCCGGCCCTAATTTGAACATAATAAAGGTTATGAACTAAGAAAGCAAGATATTACCATAATTCCAAATGTATTTTGCAAATGTTAATGTGCGGCCACATTTTCCGTTACTTCCCATACGAATCTGCACAACCGTGAGTTTCACGCGAGGACTCGTGTTCAAGTTAGTCATGCAAATTCAACAAAAAAAGCTGCTTGGTTTAAACGTGACTTCTGTGTGAGAGTTGCTTCATACATCTCTATGCTATTGTTTTGACAATGGACCTTATTTTTGTGATCGCATCTTTAGTCAAGTGGCTGATAAAACTCAAATTGATCCAGGACTGCATTGTTAACACATTCAAGCACTGTTTTATCTATCAATTTGACCAAACCTTGTTTTCCCAGGTCAAAGCCTGTGGCAGTCAGGGGCCTAAAGGCACTGGTCATACTGGCTTTTCATTCATTTACAGCACAATATATGTTAGGCCTAAATCGAGCAGTAGAACATGTGTGAGTGGTGTGCACAGTTGTTCGGTAGTGTTCATTTAAAGATTATGATTCATTAAGTCCAGCATTCAGGCAAAACGTGTTAAGGAAATGTTAGGACAGCGCATACAGGCTTGTGATAGTGAAGGCCAGAGCAGATAATGTCTGGCACTGCCCCTGGCCACAAGAGTCCACGCAGCCAGCAGGGTTAAAAAGTGAGTCTGCAGTATCCTGACTAGCCCAAACCCTTTGTCATCCATAATAATTTCCCTTATAAAGGAAAGTTTAATAAGAGCCTCTGGGCAAAAAAAAAAAAAAAAATGGATATAAAAGACCTTACATTACTA